GAAAGGCGTGGCGAGGGAGATTGCCGGGAGCCTTGGAGGGAGGGTGCGAGCATGGTGTTGAGGGTACGAAGTGTCGAGAGCGTCGGGCGTCTAGGGAGGGGGTCTTTGGACAGGATACAAAGTCCCATTCGGACCCACAACTATTATATATCCCATTTGTTTTGATCCCGGAATCCCCACGAATGTTGAATTCAAATGGGATGGGATACATAACAAAAAGTGTTCGCAACATGACTCCCACACTCTGAATAGCTTAGTGGTAGGGAATACTATGTTTTTTGGTGTCCGCTGTGATTTTTTTGAGGTCTGCTTTCTGAATTGATTTAGTTGACCATTGTTCAGCTATGGCTGCCGTTTAAGATCCTTGCTTAACCTCTTCTGAGGTTTGCTTGTTTCCTGGAACTCTGACCGGAAAACCTTCTCACAAGCCCTAAAACTCATGGAAATCATTGCTCCAAAAAAAATTTCAAGGAGGTAGTTAACAAGCCCGGGATAAGTGAATTGCGTGAATTGTTTGGAGGGTAGGATTAATGCGCCAACTTGGAGCCCTGGCAAATTATCTAAGCTTAGTTCTCTACTGTTCTGCTATTGCTGCCCTTTAAGCTTGACTTGACCTTTTCTGAGGCTTTGTTTCCTGGAACTCTGATCGGAAGACCTTTCTCAACCTTTCTCAATGATTGAAACTCTTTGAAATCATTGCACCATTCAATTCTTCCAATGGATAGTACACAAGCACAGGGGATGTGAATTGTATGACATTGCTTGGGAGGTGGGATTCATGTGCCAACTTGGAGCCCTGGGAAGAATGTTTGAACTTCCTTTTCTATTCCACTGCTTTCTGCTACTGCTCCCCTTTCCAGATCCTTGCTTCACCTCTTCTGAGGTTTGCTGACGCTGCTGCTGTTACTGCTACTGCTACTGCTGTTACTACTACTGCTACTACCACTACCACTGCTACTACTCAAACTCAAACTCAATCACAGCTAGTTTTGGTGGGGTTGACTCCGTTCACTCTCCCTCGATTGTTTGCTAGGAAGGGAGGGGCATCCGGTTTACTAATTGAAGATGGAACATTACTAGGCCATCATTGATCTCAACCAACTAGTACAAGGCCATCTATGATCGAAAGTTTCTTGAGAACACCCTGTCGATTTGTCACTTCGCCGCTCCGGTTTCACCGGAAGCTGAATGCCGCCATCCGCACCGAGCACGAAACCGGCAGAGCGGTCCGCTCGGACGGGGCGCTTGGACTTGGAGGATAATCTCTACTATCTGCTACGCTGCTGCTCAATCTGCTCTGGATATGCTTGTTCTGGTGATCCTGGGTGTGTTTTTGAATGTGACTGTGATGTTTTTTGTGCATTTTCCTCTTCGC